ATATGTATATATATATATATATATTTGTGTATTTAGGCAGCAATCCTTCTTTCATGCACATTTCATTGAAAACGACAGACAAGGTGCTTTTATTTAGCTTTTTATACAATTTCTCATGCGATCTAATAATTTTTTTCTTTTCGGGTGATAAATTATATAAAAACTGTCCGAATGTTCTTTTTATCCATACAACAAACTATTTTTAATTTTAACAGTTAAAATATATTCCTTGAAAATGGCTAAATGTATAGCGGAAAGCGCTCGGATAAAAAGAACATTCGTTTTTACTGCTTTTAAACTACATGAAAACTTTGAAACTTCCATGATTCATATCCGCTCAATGCGTATCCAAGTGTAACCAAATGACGTCACACATTATGAAAAGTCTGACAATTATTTTAAGACATCTTTATGCTTATACATTCTTTTTATAGATACAAATATTTAAGTAAATGATCTGTTTATAATAAAAAGTATTAAACAACATCTACCGGCCTGAATGTCTGAGAAATTTTCATAGAAATTATATAAATGGTGGTACTCGTTTGGAAAAACCTCAGATAGGTCAACTTGCAGTAGAACAAATCGGTACTCGAGGAAAAATGGGGAATAAAAAAAAGAAAGAACCAAGAACATTAAACTAATGCGAAAACAATCGTCAAGTGTTCAAGCTCCAAGTCCAAAGAAAAAAAAACTCAAACAAGTAAAAATCAACTACGTAAAGTGCTCAATACACTAAGTAGAGAAAAACCTAAGATAATCCTAAGGAGCAAGGCAAACCTACCTAGGTTTCACCTAAACGGATCTTCAGGGTAACGCTGGCTGAAAAGGAAGATTGTGGAACAGAATTTATTGCTAAAATCAAAAATAACCATGACCACGTGCCTCCCACAAAAAGGTAGGTTTGCCTGGCTCTTAGGGATTATTATATATATATATATATATATATATATATATATATATAAACAAAACTTGTACCTACAGAAAATGAACATAGATTTAAATAAAATGGAGTCATTATTTAACAATTAGGACCTGTTTCTAGCCCTCTCTGGATAAGACGACAAACTACATACAACAGCCACGGATCTGTTCAGAAGGTTCTGAGGGTCGTGGAACCACCTCTTAATTTCTGGTGTTCCCAGGTCCATTCTGACCCGAGTTGGTAGCACGTGTCAGGGTCCCAGCTATGGGCAAATACTTACCCCAACACTTACACCAAAAAAAAAGGCGTCAAAACACTAAGAAAGTGTAAAAATAGGTTTTAGTGAATATCGATGTCAACACTCAGAGGCGGCAGACTGTTGCATTCCAAACGCAATCATCAGGCCACAGGTAATGTTCAACTTTATATTTATCTACGCTATAACTATTAACGTTATATTTAGTGGGTATACATGCTTGATATATATATATATATATATATATATATATATATATATATATATATATATATATATATTATTTTTTTATCTGACATCATTTCTCATTGCTTTAAAAGTTATTTTTAGTTAGTACACGTTTTTGTGTCTATATATATATATATGTGTGTGTGTGTGTGTGTGTGTGTGTGTGTGTGTGTGTGTGACATACGGTGACCGTTAATACTTAAGTATAACTCAAGACTCCAATGTTGGGATAAAACAGTATTTAATTACAAATGCACATAAAATACTTGAGAAGAAGAAGAAAGAAGTAAAAATCACCCAAATATAATTAAATATTTCATTGATTAATTTTGCTAGTTGCGCGGTTCGACTTAACGTCCGGTAAATCCTAAATCAGAACCCATAGCATCGACGCACAATAATTCACACTAATTCGACTGGATAGTTCCACTCAATAGTCGCTCAGTAATTACTACAGTCAGTAGCCTGACACCGCTATTTATACCCTTAGCGGAAAACATATATTCCTAAGTTCAGAGTGTCACTCTCGAAACTCGGTGTTAGTAGTTACTCATTTTTCTATATGACATTTATATATTATTTACATTTTCGTACTGTTTTCCTCATCTTTATTGCTATATTCACAACGTTTCGGTCGTTGTACGCTCCGGCCTTCTTCAGAAGAAAAAGGAGGAGCAGGAGGGGGAAGAAGAAGAAGAAGAAGAAGAAGAAGAAGAAGAAGAAGAAGAAGAAGAAGAAGGATTTGTTATTTTATAGTTTATTTACAGCTTTTATTTACAGCGTATTTTACAGCTTTTTTACAGCAGGAAACATAACATACACTAATAATAATATTAATAATAATAATAATAATAAGAAGAATGAGAAGAAGAAGAAGAAGAAGAATGTGAAAAAGAAGAAAAAGTGTCTGAATGAAAGGAGACAATAATTGTAAGCAAATAGCAGATGTTTCCACAGACACAAGTATTTTTAAGAAGATAGATGGCGAGTGAAAGACTGTTTCAGATTTCAGATTAACCGATTACTATAAAAGCAATTCTTTCAAAGACGTTCATTATCTTATTAAAATCAATTGCGTATAAGAATGGCGTTTACGAACTCTATCAAATGTATATGCAGAGTTGTTTATTACTTTCATACACGCTACAGACATATACGTATACATGCTTACCCACGCACACAAACGCGCGCGCGCACACACACACACACACATATAGATAGATAGAATTTTCATAGAGAGTGTATCTGTAAAGAAACAAAAAGAATAATAAGACAAGAAAAACGAATCATAAATATAAAAAAAATGATTCTTCCATACACACAAATACTTAGCATAAAGAATTCCGTTAGAACTAAAATACATATTTATCCACAGACCTACTGTGTTGCTAGAGGTCCGATTGCTTCAAGCCGGGATAGAAACGCGACTAATTCGGTTTCAGTCAGAGAGACTACTCCTAGGCTATCGTCGGACGGCAGAGCAAAATAGAAATTTGAACATTTTCAATACGAACTACGGCAATGCGATAACGAGACATAAATTTTTATGTAGACAGAACAATTTTGGGGGGAACGATCTATGACAAATTGTAAAAAGCTTTATTTATGCTGGTAAGACTACACATGCGCACGAACAAGAGACGCAGGGAATTTTAATTTAAAGATGATTTTTTTTTTAAATGTTTTGTTTATATAATCTCACCGATGTTTTTAAACCATTTTTTACCTTTTTTTTTGTTTCCATCACCTTTGTTATTAAATATCCCACATTGCGATAACAGAGCTGTCAAAAATGTTGAAAGGTTCTAAAACCCTGGACGCAAATTTACTACGGATGAACTATGAATTAAATCACTTCCTAAACATTTTCGTCTTGCTTCCTCTTTTAATTCGAGTTTCATTATTTACATCAAACTTTGTGGTGAGCCCGTGACGAGGGAAACTAATGTGTTTAATGTGTTGTTTTGTAAAATATCACTTTTGTGTTCTTTTTTTATTTAAACTACTTGTATTATATATATATATATATATATATATATATATATATGCTTGTATAGTTATTAATTCAATATACACCCCTGGATATAATCTTAAGACCAGATACAAAAGGGTTACAAAAATATATAAAATACTGTTACTTTAATCAAAATATATTTGCTAAACATTAACATTGAATTAGAAAATGTAGTTTATCAACAAACAAGTGAAAATTTTAAGCTCTTAATTGATTAATTTAAACAAATATTGAAAAAAAGGTTTTTTTGTTTGGTCATAAAGGTAAGGCCACGTGTGACGAAAAACAAATTACTGGACAAAACTTTTAGAACTAGTCAATGTGCTCATAGCTCCAGACGTGTAGACATCTACGTACCTCATTTTCAGTATTAAATTTCGGATTTTAAAATGTGTGAAATTTTAACAAGGTTCGAACAGGGCAGGATTGTTGAACTTCAACGACGTGGTCTTTTGCAACGCGTCATTACAAATGAAATTGTCCGTAGCAGAAATGTCATTTCTAACATCATTAAAACTCCGGATGCGTATGCTTGTAAAAGTTCAAGCGGTCGCCCCAATAAAATCTCACCATCTCTAGACAGGCGCATTAAGCGAGAAGTTAAGAGAGATTCAAGCCTTACATCAAATCATATAAAAGCGAATACAGATGCTGAATGCATCTCTCGAACAATTCGACGGCATTTAAATAAGAAAGGGTTTAAGAACTTGAAACGGCTGCATAGGCCTCGCCTTCTTCACAATAAAACCTCCCGTTTACAATTTGTTTCCGATTATCAAACTTGGGATGTGGATAAATGGAAGAAAGTGTTGTTTTCAGACGAGAAAAAATTCAATCTTGATGACCAAGACGGTTTTCAGCGTTATTGGCGTGCAAAAGATGTTCCAAAAGAAATTTTCTCAACAGGACACAGTTGAGGTGGGTCAATTATGGTTCATTTTAGTGCAATAGTTACAGGAGTTAAAGGGTCGTCAAACAGCAGCTAGTTACGTTGACAGATTAAGAAAGGCATCGCTAATTGCTGAAGATATTCATCTATGTGGAGAAAACTGGATTTTCCAGCAGGATAATGCTACAATCCACAACGCTCTCCAGATCGAAATTCAATCGAGAATGTTTTTGGGGATGGATAGCAAAGGAAGTTTTTAAACATGGATCGCAGATTGAAACTGTTGATGCTCTTCCTGCTGCAGTTTATGTATCCTGCGCGAGCATCACAAGCACCCTCATTAATAATGAGTGTGCCAAAGCGAATTTTCGAAGTAATTCACAAAAATGGAGGATACAGACTTATTTGTTCTGTATTTGCTATTTTTATTTACATTATCATTATGACCAACCCCAAAAATCCTTTTTTCAATGTTTCTTTAAATTAATAATTAAAAGCTTTTCACCAAGGGTATATATATATATATGTGTGTGTGTGTGTGTGTGTTCAGTACACAATTTTTCTCAATGTACTACCCAGATAGTTGAATTTTAGTACGTACAAAATTCTAACGTCCCCAATATGTAGCCCAAAATTTGGGTGGTCCCTTTTGTCGACTATCATGCATTCAGTCTTCTCGAGTTAATAGTTAGTCTCGCTTTCTTGTAAAAAAAGTATATATATATATATATAGAGAGAGAGATAGATAGATAGATAGATAGATAGATAGATAGATAGATAGATATTCGTCATACAAAAAGAAGTGAATATCGACTGGCATACACTTATATACACACGCAAACACAAAGATGAAAATATTTACAGTTTCTTCGGCGAGGTCACTTTGCTTCGTGAACACGTCTACTACAGGCACTGGGATAATGGAGATCCTCGTACAGTATGGCCAGGCTTTTCTTCTTTAACGACGGGGGTAATTTTACAACTGGCTGAAGCCGCGAATTTATATAATTGTCCCTTTTCTTGTATTTTGCTTCACAATTTTACGAAGAAGATTCACTGACAAATATTTCGTCTCCAAGAATATCTCAGTCAGCTGTTTCTCTTTCCCACTGACATTAGCTGAATCCTCAAGAGATAAAGGGTCTTTTTTGAACGGATCCTTATATCTCTTCATTGGAACCCCAATTTGTTATCAGCTAAAGGCTAATTCCACTGATAAGAAAATTGTTGCGAGGCAACTTTCTTCCGTCCTTGCCATGAAACCAACCCATCGTATATGTGACCTAGGAGAATAAGGTCAAGACTTATGCCTCTGGCTGAGGTTTGTGATTACTTTGTGTCAGTTCATTTTAGAACAACGAGGACTCTCAACAGATGATGGAAACATACAAAGATTCGGCAAAGACAATAAAGTATCTTCTCACCAGACTTATTCAAACATATTCAAGTTTAGCCTATGATATATATATATATATATATATATATATATATATATATATATATATATATATATATATATATATATATATATATATATAAAGATATTTTTGTAGGTACAAAATTTAATGACAGACATAAAAAGTGTAAAAACTTAATATTACTAGACGTATTACAAAAAAGCGAAGCAACCGGTTTCGCACCTGCTCTTCAGGCTTCCACGGGAGATTTAACTTAAATTAAAAACACTAGAAAATATGCAATGAAAAGAAAGTAGTGGAACTGATGAAAAAAAAATTTTTTTCCTCACTTCCACAACTTCTTTTTTATTGGCAGGAGGAAACCGGCTGCTTCGCCTTTTTTAATATGTCTAGTAATATTAAGTTTTACATTTTAAATTTCTGCATATATATATATATATATATATATATATATATATAGAGAGAGAGAGAGAGAGAGAGACACACACACACATATATATATATATATATATATATATATATATATATAGTGTTTGTATGTGTGTGCGATGGATAAATTGCCGTTTCGATTATCGAAAAAAAAATAGCACTGACATCTCATTTTAACGGAGATATTTACAAAAAGTACACAAAATACTAAATAGTAAATTTATTCAATAAAATCGCCATGGCCTCCAGACGACTTAGGAATCTCCCAAAACTGTTAGGGACTGTTTTCATGTTTAAGTTAGTGAATGCTGACATGGCCTCAGTTCAACTGCGCCCCACACATAATAATCAAGGTGGGTGCAGTCTGGAAAGTTAGGTGGCCAGATGTAAATGGTGATGTTGCAGGAGAAACTTTCTGACAACCCTGACTGGTTTCTCCTGCTAGTGTGACATGGTGCCGAGTCCTGTTGCTAGACATAGGTTCTTTTAGCAGCCACCCTCTTGATCCAGGACCACACTACCTCTTCAAGGCACTTGATGTAGGCTTCCGTGTTGAGCCTGAGTCCCTCACCAACAAATTCGGGAGTTCTTTTCTTAGAACGTTTAGAGACAGTTTTCCGTGTTGTCTTACCTTCGTAATCACCATTAAACTCATTCAACTCCTTCCGAAAAATGGAAACATAAAGGTTATTTATGCATAACATCAGAAAGAGAAATCTGAAATTTCTGGAGCACATAATGAGGAAAGAGGGCTTAGAGAATTTGCCACTCACAGGACATGTTGAAGTCAAGAGAGACAGAGGAAAGTAGCGAATAACTTACTTAACGAGCTTGTGTCAATGACTAGTAGAACAGGGTTAAGTAGAGATAGCAAAAAGACAAACATTTCTAAGAGCCAAAAGGGGCAGGAATTTGATGGAACAATATTCGACCAACTCTTGAAGGGACACGACGCATGTTTCCTGTAGTTTCTGGTATTCGTGTCTTGAGGTTTCTGTTTACACAGGCACGTCCGATTAGACTGTTAGCACTGACCAATACATTACATGTCTCAGGAAGAGTCATTTGAAATTTCTGGGAATAATAATGAGGAAAGAGGGCTTAGAGAATTGGCCACTCACAGGGCATATTGAAGGGAAAGAAGGGCAGGGGACAGCAGTAAATAACTTACTTAATGAGCTTGTTTCATTGACTAGTAGAACAGGGTTAAGGAGAGATAGCACGAAGGCAAACATTTTCAGGAATTTGATGGAACAATATTCGACCAACTCTTAAAGGGACACGACGCATGCTTCTTGTAGATTCTGCTATTTGTGTCTTGAGGTTTCTGTTGACACAGACACCTCCGAGTAGATTATCAATGACTTAGCTTTGACCAATGCATTACATGTGTCACTTTCCAGTCTGGCGTCGGACCATGTAACGCTGACTGGTTAGACCATAACCTCTCCCAGTTTTGCAGGCCAAATGGAAACGGAAGAAGGGTGATTGTTTTAGCTTGATGCAGGTTGGTGAAGAATGACCATCATTTTTGTCTAAATAGTTCGATGATCTTTGCAGAGCAGACATTTACCAGGTGGAGAGCAGTTTATCTACGACCGACTCGATTTTCGTAATTTGCCTGCAGAATGTTTTTGGTCAGTTGCAGTGTGGGTATCCGTGTGGCTTCGGCGATATTTTAGATTGTACTATTCTGCTTTTACGAGTTTTTTAGTAAATGTGTTCCTGTCATCATCCTTCTCCTCCATATCATGTAATATACAGGGTGTCTATAAAGTTCGTATGCACTTACAAAATTTGTAATTGTATTTGCAATAGAAATAATCTGTAAAAAATGTTATAAAGTTTAATGTACCTAGTTTTAAGTATAGCTAAAATAACTAATGTGATTTCAGGCATTACTGTAAATCAGTTGGCAAATGTTTTCCATGAACTGCAAAATCGTATTACCCTTTGTATTTCTAATGATGGAGGACATGTGGAAACTTAAATAAAATTTCAATAAAACCTTAAAAAATATAGATTTATTTCTTTCTAATCCTTTTTAGAAATTATTTCTATCGCAAATAAAAAAAATTATACATTTTTAAAGTGCACAAGAACTCTATGGACACCCTGTATAATGGAATATTTTAAATTGCCTTGGCGCTTGTACACATTTTTGCTTGACGCCTTATAAAGAAGTTGCTTCCGTCTGTGACTTGTTACTCGTAAGGTTGGAAAATGATGCGATTATCCTGGCCTAGTTACCTTATACAACGCCTTTTCAGGTCGACAAGAATGACATAACAGCTTTGTTTTGTTCGTAGCCTTTGTCATACAACTGCCGTAGGGCAAATACCATGTTGACAGTTTCCGGATGGCAACGAAACCACAAATGCTCTCAGGGAGACCATCTTCATCGATTTGAGTTACTGGTCTGTTTAGTTGTATTCTCGCAAGGAATTCGCCTACAATCGAAAGCAAAGAGACACTTCAGTGATTTGAACAACCCCATTGTTATGAGGCTAATTTACTCTGATGTCAAAGTGTCCGTGGATACCTTTATGCAGAGCGGTTTCGTTTTCAGATCTATGAAGCTATATCATCAAAATTTTTACCGTATACATGCAGCTTTATAACGTCCTGAAAACGTATAGGAAAAGATGCCTTCCAAAAGCTAAACAAAGTAATAAGGAACAGGAAGATTTCGTTAGAAAAATGAAAACTGCTGAAGAACTTAACGACTTCTTCGGAGATGAAAAAAATAAGTCAACACAATCATGTCAATTGTGAAGACGGCCACAACGTGTTGACCGTGTTCGGAAATTAAAAAAACATTCGCATCATATATATATATATATATGTCGAGTGGTTAGAACGTTCGCTTTCTGAGCATAAGACCCGGGTTCGAATCTCACCATGGTCGATTTGTCAAGAAGGCGACTTTTTGATGATTATCGAGGTTGATCCCAGTGTGTGGCATCTTTGACAAGTGCCTGAAAACCATACTACGGGTTGACCCAAGCCTTGTGAGTGAATTTGGGTAGAGGAAACCATTGGGGGCCGTCGAAACCTCTGCTAGCACGAAGTCACAAGTCTTCGTGGCCGAGGCTTAAGGGCTGGCCTTGTTCAAATTGTTGATCACACTAGATAACACGCTCTCTCCGAGAAATTGTAACTAAGGTCTGCTCAGTATAATTGCATTTAAAACCACAGGTAGGCTCTCTGGGTGTTGAGCAAATACAAATGTGCCTAAGCGTGCGTCTGCAATAGGGATAGGCAAGTCGTCCTAGTAGTCGGGTATCCTTAAAAAGGAGTGGTTGGCTATCATTACATACACACACACACACACACACACACACACACACACACACACATATATATATATATATATATATATATATATATATATATAATGTAAATATTAAGGATAAAATATTATCCTTTATAACCGCTAATAGATTAGTCAAAAGTGATCGGATCTATAGATCATTTGGTCAATTTCTTAACACACTCTATGCACAGAAAAAAGAAAATTCTTAAAGAAATGCAAGAAAGATTTAATAACAAAAGTTTAATCACAGTGCTTTGTCAGTCGTTTTCAATGAAGTTTGTATTAAAGAGGCTCTGCTGTCAAGGAGACATGGCACAGTGGATAAAGGCGTTAGTTAGATCTAGTGACAGGACCCAAAGAGTGTGAGTTCAATACCTGTTAAGGCGGTGGGGAATATTGAGAGAGGGAATTAATAGGAGATAACTGACAGCTGACATCCCTTAGACATGGCACGTGGAACTAGAACAGTCTACCCCAGTGAGCGAAATAAAGGGTTAAGTTCGACATTTCAGCCACCTGAAGAAGGCCGAAGCATACAACGGCCGAAACGTTGTAATAAATATAGCAACAAAGATGAGTACGATAGTCCGAATAATGGAAATAAGAAAAACTCAGGATAGAACTCACGGTTGCATCTAGTCATTATGAGGCCGAAACTTTGCCACCAATCTATTACTCTGTTTCATTCATAAAGGCTAGGTAGAATGCTCACCATGAAAATATTTATAGAAATGTCACAGGTTAGTTACGACGGTGTGTGGACTGAAAGACCAATAACATTTTAGATTTTTTTTTTTTTTTTTTTTTTTGTAAAATTATATTTATTTATTAGCTGTTTCGTTCCTGATGCATTGATACCAGCATTTATGCGGGACTACTTTTCAGCACTGATTTTATCCTGGGTTTTAGGTTAACTTGAAATTGATAGATTCTAACTACCTCCCTTGCACGGCACTGATGCATAGTTCTTGGGTCATCATAACCATCTTTAATCGCTGTCATCACACCTTAGCAGGCATAGACGAGTACTTCTGCTAGTTGCCTTTAAATTCTGATTCGCCTTTATTACTAATATGTTGCTATTTCCCTAGGCTTTATAAAATGTAATTTAATATTTGATGGAGGAAATGTATTTGGCTTATATCCAAGATGATTTTGTAAACCACAATCATAATTATGATTTATTTAGATAAGAGGTGTTATAACTGGGCACAGTAGGTTTAATTCGAAAGTTACATTTTCATGATTATTCAAATGTTGATATGTGAAAATGTGTGCGTGTGTGCGTGTCAACAAATAAATGCAGTACGATATAACCAGACTGATAGATAGATAGATAGATAGATACAGAGTGAGATAGATACATAGATAGATATGAACAGACTGAAATAGATAGATAGATAGATAGATAGATAGAAAGATATATAGATAGTCAAGGAGACATGATAGACTGTGATAGATAGTGAGAAAGAGAATGAGAGAGATGGAATAGACAGGGATAGAGAGAACGACAACGGATACATACATAACGAAAAAGGCAGATAGATAGATAGATAGATAGATAGATAGATAGATAGATAGATAGATAGATAGATAGATAGATAGATAGATAGATAGATAGTCAACGAGTTATATACAGACTGATAGAAAAAAACGAAAGAGAGAGAATGAATAGACTTGAATAAAGAGAAAGAGAGAGAGAGCGAGGGCGGATAATTAGAGAAAGAATGAAGATAGATAGATAGATAGATAGATAGATAGATAGATAGATATGAACAGTGACAGATAGAGAGAGATAGAGAGAGAAGAGAACAGACTGAAATAGATAGATGGATAGAAACGAACACAATAACATAGCTAGCTAGATAGATAGATAGATGGATAGTCAATGAGACATAATTGACTGTGATAGACAGAGAGAAAGAGAATGAAAGAGAATGAACAGACAGGGATAGAGAGAATGACGACGGAATGGCAGAGAAAGAAAAAGGCAGATAGATAGATAGATAGATAGATAGATAGATAGATAGATAGTCAAGGAGCTATATACAGGCTGTGATAGAGATAAAGAGAATGAGAGGGAGTGGAATAGAGAGAGAAAAACGGAGGATAGATAGATAGATAGATAGATAGATAGATAAAGAAAGAAAGAATGAATGAATGAAAGACAGAGATCGAAACGTCGACTGAAATAGAAAGAAAGAAAGAAAGGATTAAGAGAGATAGATATAAAAATAATAGAAATTGATTGAACAGAAAGAAAGAAAAAAATAGAAAAGCTGACATGGATTGAATTAAAAAGAAAGAAAGAAAGAAACCGACATTAGATAGATAGATAGATAGATAGATAGATAGATAGATAGATAGATCAGAACTCCCACTAGACAGACACACATAGACAATTTCGAATACACATTACCATTCAATACCCACTTAGACATATAAGAATCTTCACAGACTTACATACATATAGAATTATCGACGGTTCAACGAGAACAGATCCAAATAAAACTCAAAACTGAAAATACCAAAATTGCAAATCTGTCATTTAATGAAAGTGAATCGTGTTATATTCAAATCTTCTTCTTTTATGCGCCGTCTCCTTTCAGGACGTAGGCGATCATGGCCCTCCACTTTTTCCTCTCACTTAATAAGTTTTCTCCTTTTGTTATTTCTCAGAAATCCTGTTCCGGCATCTATTTGCTCAAGCTCATTAAGTATATTCCGCGCTGTTTTCCTCTGTCCCTCTTTCTTTCTATCTGTCCTGTGAGTATCAGATTCTCCAAGCCTTCCATCCTCGTTACACAAAGCAGCGAAGTGTTTCTAAGGAAAACTGGATCAAAAAGACACCTATACTTAAAAAGATTTGAAATTTCTGGAACACATGAATATGAATATCATACTCACAGGACATAGAAGGCAAGAGGGACAGAGACAAGTAGCAATAACCTACCTAAGAAAATATAGGAAGTTGTGGAGAGCATTGTCCACGTACCTAAGCTTGTGTAAATGGACGACAGAAAAGGGATTGGGTGGGAGAGTAAGGAAACAAAAATTTCTTAGAGCTACGAAAGATAGGAAGTTGTGGAGAACCATGACAATCTACTAACGAGCTTGTGTAAATGAATGACAGAACAGGGATTGGGTGGGAGAGTAAGTAAACAGACATTACTTAGAGCTACAAAGGATAGGAAGTTGTGGAGAGCCATGACCATCTACTAACAAGCTTGTGTAAATGAATGACAGAACAGGGATTGGGTGGGAGAGTAAGTAAACAGACATTACTTAGAGCTACAAAGGATAGGAAGTTGTGGAGAGCCATGACCATCTACTAACAAGCTTGTGTAAATGAATGACAGAACAGGGATTGGGTGGGAGAGTAAGTAAACAGACATTACTTAGAGCTACAAAGGATAGGAAGTTGTGGAGAGACATGATCTACTAACAAGATTGTGTAAATGGCTGACAGAACAGGGATTGGGTGGGAGAGTAAAGAAACAAAAATTTCTTAGAGCTACAAAGGATAGGAAGTTGTGGAGAGCCATGACCATCTACTAACAAGCTTGTGTAAATGGATGACAGAACTGGAATTGGTTGGGTTAGTAAGGAGACAAACATTAATTAACGCTACAAAGGATAGGAAGTTGTGGAGAGCAATAATCCCCTACCTCACAAGCTTGTGTAGATGACTACCCAAACAGAGATTAAGCAGTATAGCGAGGAGGACAGTGAAGAGGATGTTAGGAGTGATCAATAGTGATGGCGAGGTTATGCGTCCATTCATCTTTCCACAGAGAAGCAGACACAACAAAGAGGCCTACTCCAAGTGCCTTGAGAAGGTAGTGCTGACCTAGGTCAAGAGGGTGGCTGCTGGAAAAAATATGACTAGTAACAGGACTCTTTACTATGCAACACATACAGGAGAAACCAGTCATTGCTGTCAAACAATTTCTACGACAATATCACCCTTCACATCTGGCCACCTAGCTCCCCAGAGTGCAACACACTTTATTTTGTATTCGGTGCCGTTGAGCGAGAACAAATCCTTGTAATACCAAAGATGAACTGAAGGTAAGAATTATGGCAGCATTCACCAACTTAAATAAGTAAAGCGTTCAGAAGATATTTCGAAATCGTCTGGAGGCCGTTGTTGAAGCCAATGGCGATTAAATTGAATAAATTTACTCTCTAGTGTTTCAAGATATTTTGGTGTAATTTTGATAAATATATCTCTTAAAATGAGATGTCAGTGTTATTTTCATTTTTGCGTCTTTTAGAGGACAATTTATCCATCGCACCCTGTCTAACCCGTATCTAAAGCGCATGCCTAGTAGCTAACGTAATTGGTATACGGGCACCTGTTAAATGTACGTTTTCCGAATGCTGATTTTCGAGAAGAGCGAACCTTTATTAAATGGAAATTTAATACTCCTTCTAATTTTACAATATAAGTTTTATGCCAGGCATTGTCAAACTTAATGAATGCACGGACAGGTCAGTTGAGTTGAAAGTTAGAAGCTCAGGAAATGAAATCAAAAACCCAAGTTCAATTTATGATTGGGATAGTGTTAACTTTGCCCTAGTAAGCATTAGAGAGACCTGAATTCACATTTGACATGTGTTAGTTAGGATTGAAATATTTATGGGTAAGTTCAGCATCTACTGCGAACACAAGAAGCATTACTATGTTTTTGAGCGTACGATGTCGCGGTATTACTGTTCTTGTTCAAATCGATCTAAAACATTCAACTGTCAATAAATAGCATAATTTAAATAAAAAACTTTCCGTCTACACATTGCTCGTCTTAGTAGTTGCCTATATATAGAGAATTGTCTGATGAAGATGACAATTAGAAAAATTGTCGAAAGTGCTTGGCATATGCCTTCCATCTGGCAACAACTCGAATATAAGGATCTTATTATTCAAGGAACTGACATTAAGTTAATGTCTCATTAAGTTCTGTTAGCGAAGCGATTTCACCATTAATCACATTAACATTGCTATTTAATTCTTTGTATAAATTGTTTCTTTAGATGCGAATTGAGTCACTGTCGGTCACTGGGCGTGTTTCTAAAAATAAATACGCTAAAAATCCACTTTCATCCCTACCGACGGCTTAATTGGTTAGAATCTCCGACTGACACCAATTCAGTCGGGTTTCGATCCTAGCTAGAGGCAACCGGATGTCTAGCCACACTGATGAGCTGCAAAACAGTCTGTCTGTGGATGACATTATATATATATATATATATATATATATAACTGATGAGAACGAAAGTAATATATAAATTCCAACGTTCACAGCATTAATCCAAAAGAGAGCTCGATACCGATAATAGAGCGATAATTATTTATTTATTATAATTTTATCATATAGACAAAACTATTTTACTCACTACAAAGATGCAACTTCGTTTCAGTGAATTTCAACTGCATTTCGATGGATAAGAACATAAACATAAACATTTTCGATTCTCACCCGTCGAAGTGCAGTTGAAATGCACCGAAACCAAGTTGCATCGTGAGTTTTGTCTATATGATCAAATTATAATAAATAAATAATTATCGCTCTACAATCGGTATCGAGCCCTTTTTGATTAATGCTGTGAACGTATATATTACTTTCATATCACATCGATCTCTCTCTCTCTCTCTCTCTCTCTCTCTCTCTCTCTTTTATATATATATATATATATATATATATATATATATATTGCGTAACCGAAAACATCTTGTTTTCAGAGAAGCACCCGGTCCTCTGTATAAAACATCTGTCACCAACCTTATTTAGCAACGGAAATAAAGTTTTTTTGCTGTTTTTTGGGGGTTTAATGGAAAAACGCCAACTCAGATTCCAGTTCGCGGGTCTCCGTATAAACGCTCTTATTATAAAAGCATCAGGCACTACATCTTAAACAGACAACCAAGAAAAGAAATTAGCAAATCTTAGCAACAAACCACCTTGAAAATGATTAAAGTGATCGAAAGCGCTTCGGACAACAGAAGCTACGAACAATTTTTTTTCACAACCTTAAAACCCAACAAACGGAAAAGAATGTAAGAATATTAGAAAAACGCAATAAAAAAATCAAATTTTCCGATGGAAAAGAAAGGTTCTGCCCATATATATATATATATATATATATATATATATATATATATACCACGAAATGGACTAAGTCCGGCACATATTTTAATATATTTTACTGTTTATCTATACACAAAATTTATTTTCTATATATATATATATATATAACGTATAACAATAAAATGTATTAAAATAATTGTTGTTCATTTCGTAGTATGTGACTCATTTGTTAATGTTAAGATACGCTTTGAGTATATATGAATGTTCGAGTGAAGTCATGGCAAGTTTGTAGTTTAAATGCAGTAAAATCGAACTTGCAAACAAGACGATTACTTCGTAGCTATACCGGTATATCACGTCAGGCTATATGATAGTTCCGTGTAGGATACAGGTTCGATTCGTGTCGGAGGATGCATATAAATTCTCTGACGCTCAGACCGGTAAATGTTGTTAATACAGTTTATTATAGACAGATCATTTAATTAATCGTTTATGCATATATAAACAACATTAAAATATATTATATTTTCTAAGATAATGTATTTTGTTTATCAATATGTCAGATTTCGATCGCTTTAAACGTTATTTTTAGTGGATACCCATATTTGAATAGACGTTCCGTTTATTCATTAAACATTATATTTATTAATTTTCGTCTATCGGCCTGAATATTCCAAAAATGTTGTTATAGAAAGGGCGCATATATTTCTTTAATAGGATTTCTCGAATATTCCGTCGGTAGACGAAAGTAAATAAATATATTATTATATACAACGTTTAAAAGTTAATAACAATATATATATATATATATATATATATATATATATATATATATATATATATGAAGAAATGTAGTTTTAAGTGCTATTTTAATGGGATAAAGTGCTCAATACCAGAGATAGAGCGTATGTAAATATAGATATGAAAGTGAGCGAGAGGCTGTTTCATGTTAGAAACATGAAACAGCCTGTTGCCTCTAAGTGTTGACTTCTATGTTCACTTATATATATATATATATATATATATATATATATATATATATATATATATATATATATATAATAGCTGTTCACTCATATTCGAGGATACCCGTGTATTAGGGCGACTCAAGCGCATGTGTGTTTACTCAAAATCCACAATTAATTAATAATTACAGTTTCTTTGTAAGAGTGTATTATCTAGCGTGGTCAAAAATTTGAACGCTTAATCCCTTGGCCACGATGATTTGTGACTTCGTGCTAGCACGCCTATCGATGGCCCCCCTCCGCAAGTGTTCCGTCTACACAATTTCACTCGCAAGGCTTGGGTCAACCTATGGAATGGTTTTCCGACACTTTCCAAAGGTGGCGCACGCTTGGATCGATCTCAATCCAGTCCGATAACATCACGAAGTTTCCTGATATATATATATATATATATATATATATATATATATATATATATATATATATATATACACACACAGAGGAGGGAGAGAGAAAGAGATAGTCGTAGCAAGATATAGATATATGTATGACCAAAATTGTACATCACAGAGACACACACACACGCACATATATATATATATATATATATATATAGATAGATAGATAGATAGATAGATAGATAGATAGATCAAAATTAAGTTTAAACCTATGTTAAGGTCTCCTCCCTCTGTTTTTTTAACAAATCCTTTCATGGTAACTGCTCCGATGAGCTGCTTTCGCTGATTCACAGACTTCATGGATTTAAGCGTTCAACTAGGCTGGCATCTCGCTCTCATCGTTTCGCCGTCGAAACTGTTAAATATAGCCGTCACTTCATTAGCTTCAAAATTAGGCCTTCAAAAGTCTTATGATACGCGATTATATACGCTATATATAGACATATGTGTGTGCGTGTGTGTGAGAGAGAGCGAGAGAGAGGGTGTGTGCGCATGCGCGTTTGCGAATAATTATACATGGAGAAACAGATGTTACGGACATGTCCACCTTTGTTTACATTCGGTGTAATGTTCTCATCTTTCTTTTCGCTATCGCGATGTTTCGACTATTGTCCCTGTTCTTCGCCAGGTGCCTGTTGAAGAAGTGCGCAAGGGGCAACGATGAAAACTTTATGTTAATGACAACAAGGACAAGAACATTATTTTGAATGTAGATAATATAAATATTGATTAATCCTCATCCCAGCGTCCACCATTGTGTTCTCTGAAAGACGCACAGTTCTTTACAGAACAAATAATCAACACTGATGCTTATCTTCAGAACTATTTTCGGTACATTTATAATGTGGACACACAACAATAAAAACAACCAACTTGAAGTGACATTTTTTAGAATTATACATACGCTTTCAGTTTCTGTATTCCTTTACCTGCATGAAATTTTAATTTATTATATATATATATATATATATATATATATTCACTTTAAAAAAATGCTCAATCAAAGTCGAGCAGTATATTATTATTATTATTATTATTATATAAGATTATAATAAAAACATCTTGAAATCGCAACAAAAAAAGCTTTCATGTTTCAATGCTTTGAGTGTACTTCTCCAGTACAATCAAAGTACTGAAACATGAATGCTTTTGTGTAAAGATTTGAACATGTTTTTATTATAATCTCTTATAATAATAGTAATAATGATAATATATATATATATATATAAAGTGCATAATTCCATCGATAAAAAACCGTTATTTATTCTGAAGAAGTCCGTTCAAAATAAATGCGTAATATTGATTTTTTTTCACTTAGTCATTCAGTTACCTAGTGCCATATTACTTTATGCATCAGACTCCCGAGAGGATGCTTCCCCGAAACATATCTTCGTGTTTAAGTTCACCCGTTACTCATCCTTCATATCCTCATAATTTTTACATACTGCACCTTCCTACTTCCATACAACAATCTCATTCAATAACCATCTAACTTGAAGGGCTCTTGGGTCTTCTATTAGGTTAACATATAATAAACCAAAAAGTCAAATTGCTCAAAAATAAAGTAGTAATTTTAGTATAGCACAAGGCACGAATATCAAACAACTAGCTATAAATGGAATGATCAGCGTGATGTTCTGCTAACCATTGCTCCTCAGCGAGACGCGAAGTATTTGCTAAGATTAGTATTGTTTTACTACACCCAGCATAGGTATTTACTAAACATTTCTAGTTTTGGCACAAGGTCACAAATAATGAGCACCCAGTGAGAATAGTAATGATCTACGAGACAAGTTTGTTGACCATTATACAACTACGAGACGATCCGCTTAAACTGGCCTGAATCAGTGTCTTAAACTTAATTATCAATTTTTAGTGACTGGCCCCTGTCAAGGTTAGTAATGACTGTAACAGAAGTTTGTTTTTAACTTTTACTGTAGTATATAATTTTATTAGATATAGAAGAGAGAGAGAGAGAGAGAGAGAAATTTTTTCATGATTCCACTTTCATTTTTGGACGTGACGGAATGCAAGGAGAAGTAGTTGTCATGCCTTTACAAATGGCATTACCACCCAGGGTCAAAACTCGAAATCGGTTTGCGGTGTTGGCTGTCGTTACGCTAACTTCTAACCATTAGTAACTGTCCCCTCTTATTAAACCAGAAATATAACGGAGTCGAATCAAACATATTTCCTCAATATTTCATTTGTAAGGAAGAAGTTCTACTCACCCCCCCCCCGTGAACAGCTACTTTGTGCAACAAAAATCCGCCTGTATCTTTTCCTGAAGCACAATAATCTGCAATTCTAGTTACTCTTATATTCATATCACACAACTCATTCAGTAAACATCTACCTTGAGTGGCTTTTGAGCTTTAGTATTTTTTTTTTAATTTTCGATAATCCTGGTCGTTCCAGAGGTTACAATAAATTCTAGAAATTAAAGACTTTTCCTGTTCCTAAAATTTGACAAATAATCCCTAGACAACCACTAAACAGAAATTCTTATCGTCAGATATGAAAGGCTTTTTACAATGTACTCTTTCGAGTGACACGAAATATTAATGATTATAGGAATAACAATAAAACAATCGTAATGTACTCATGCGGCAGATATAACCTAGTTTTTGTTAAGATAATTGAAGTCGACATCCTTATAGAGCCTTTTAAACAACTGGTAAACGTAGAGTTTTATTTGAATAGTTGTTTAACTTAAAAAATATATATCTATATATCCTCAACACGTACCTGAATCTGGCGTCATTTTCGTTAAAATAAAAGAAAATAAATACGCATGCGCAGCCAAGCGAAAAATGTCTGTTTATCATGAAAACAACATTTTTTTTTTTTTCTTGGACATTAACAGGTTTGATTTTCAAGAAAATTATACCGTGCAGCAGATGTTTCACTGAAACTAGAATTCAACTTTTTTTTTTCTTTTTTTGTATTTTAATGTTTGCCACCGGAATTAACTAGAATTTATCGAAATAATTTAGAGAAAATAACGTTGGAG